TAACATAATATCAGTCTGCCAATAATTCTCACTCAAGCAATATATATTATTTCAAACAAACTTACAACTTGAATACACAATCAACTTCAATATAAAATATATGATCAAAGAATGATGTTTGACCCTGTAAAAAAGACATCCATATATACTTGATAACAAGGTACTTCGCATATTAAATTGAACATTACTCCAAAAGGGACGGTCAAGATAAGGGTATCGAAAAAATACGGCGAAATTGCCTTACGGCAAAAATCCTATACGGCGAAGTTTCCTACAGCGAAAATTTCTGAGACGAGTTTTCCAACAACAAAAATGTTTACGGTAAAAGTTCTGAATACGTGTAGAAAGTGTTCACATAAAGAATTTGCTCGAAGGACTATATTAATCTTGGCTGTTATACTCCAAATATTTCGACTCTTGTACACTCCGGCCTTCTTCAGAGGTCTGTCTTCATACTTGGTAGCCTTCTGTAAATTTTGAAGAGAACCCATTACGTTCTCCTTTCGGTACCCATGCTTAACGGATTTTTCATTTGAATGCACTGTTTGTCTTCGGGCCCTCTCACCCACCTACAGTCATTTGTAGGTTATGTAACTCACAGGAATATTTACAACCCCGTCTTCGTGAATAGTTCTGATATTCATTTACATTCAGCTGATAGATTGTCTTTTAAAGGATAACATTTCATATCAGTTAATTTCTTTTAAATTTTTTAGGAAAATGTAAAAAAAAAAAAAAAAGAACGCTTATACTTAGGGTCATAAATAGTTGAAAATTGTAGGACACCTAATGAGAAAAAAGAGCTAGGAGAATTTGACACTCACAGGACACAATGAAGACAAGCAGAAGTAAATATTGCTTAGAGTTACAAAGGATAGGAGATTGTGGAGAGACATGATCACCCACTGAAAAGACAGAGGAAAGCAGGGAGTAACCTACCTAAGGAGCTTGTGTAAATGAATGGCAGAACAGGGACTTGGAAGAATAGTAAAAATAGAAAAAAGCTACAGAGGAAAGGAAGTTGAGGAGAGCCATGATCACCCACGCCCTGAATGCACAAGGCACATAAAAGAAAAGCAGCAACTACATCAAACTTTTTACTTTATCAGATAGTGATTTACTAAGCGTAGCTGTGGCACAAGTTCGAATGTATGGAGCTCTCAGTGAGGATCGAACTCATTATTCAGTCGCAATTTATCCAACGAGATAATCTTGCTAACCATTACGCCACCTCGAAGTGCCTATGCAAGAGTTGATATTGAATAAAAAGTTCGATTTATATATGACTGTCGCTTGGTCATATATGAAAGAAATATCTCATTTGGATCAATATTTTTTCTTTTATGTGTCATGTTCCTTCAGGACGTTGGCCATCATGGCTGTTCACAATTTCCTGCCCTTTGTAGCTTTTGTAATATTTGTCTTTTCGCTGTCTCTCCTAAATCCTGTTCTGTCAACGATTTACGCAAGCTTGTTAGGTAGGTTGTTCCTCTGTTTTCCTCACTTCCTCTTGCTTTCAATGTACTGTGAGTGTCAAAGCCAGAAGAGACTTCCACAAGCGAGAACAACGATAGAAGAAACTGTTAACATAGAACTTCCGTATTTACATTATTTACATTGTTCGGACTATTGTCCTCAACTTTATTGACATATTCACGACGTTGCGGGCGTTGTGCGCTCCGTCCTTCTTCAGGTGATATACATTGGAATTTCGAACCGAACCCTTTATTTCGTTCACCGGGGTAGATTGCTCTGGTTCCACGTACTAAAAGCGAGATAACTGAAACTGAGCTATCCACAAAAGACATGACATGTGGAACCCGAACAATCTATCCGAGTGGATGAAATAAACGGTTCGATTCGAAATTCCCATCATCTGAAGAAGGCCGGAGCGTACAACAGCCGAAACGTCGTGCATATGACAATAAAGATGAGGAAAATAGCCCGAACAATGTAAATAGTTATAATGCGTCATCTCAGAAATATTGATACATAGACCTTGTTGTTACATCTAGCCAATTTAATCTTGCTTGTAAAAATCTAGAAAGTGTTTATTTGGAGCCTTAACCCTAATGTCTAAATTAAGCTGGTGGTATTTTTGTTGTCCTTTCTTTCGTAACCAGAGGCTCCCAGAAAATTTTCATCTCGATGGTTTCTTTACTGAGGAGGTTGTCAAAGTCTATCATTCACATTAGATTATTTCAGTTGTGTTATCCTCCAGTGTTATTCTCTGTTATCTTCATTAGATGTTGATGACTACTTTTCCCACATACATGATCAGCTATGCCTGATTTTAGTACACCCCCCCCCAACCAAAAAAAAAACTTCTCAATGTTTCTTCAAATTTATCTCTAACGGGAGACTAATCACGCCCTTTCATCCCTTACAACTGCATGGGGCGTAATTCAGAGTTTATAGTCACACTCTCTGCCGAATGATGAGGAGCTTTGGTGTCGAAAGAGATATTCCCGAAGGGGTGAATTGCTTCTTTTTTTTATACAGTCCGGATGTTGTATGGAAATCAGACCCTGTAAATCTTTTCCAAAGTACCTCTTATGGATGGCAAACTGTGACATATTTTTTCTTTCAGCTCTCTACTATTATTCCCTTACTTGTGGAAGCTGCTATTATTCTTTCAGGATGGATGTTACCTTCAAGGGTGTCTCTAGTACTGTTCAGCTCCCATTGGTATATGCAGACGATCAATTACTCCTCGCTTTATGGATGGTATAAACGGAAGCTCAAGTATTTACAATTTACAAATATAGAAATATCTTGATCGATTATTTTTTACAGCTTATCAACTTTTTTGCAGGTTATTTAAATCCAGGAAATATTTTAAAATTGTAAAATGTTTTTTAGAGATAATTACGATTTACTGATACAAGTCTTACTATTTAATCCATAGCTAAGGGGAGAAGAGGCAGATTCATACCTTTCTCGAAACTATTTTCGCATAAGTGAATATAAGGAATCCAACTGGAATTTGAACCCGGGTCTCCGATTTCCAAATATCTATTAAATTAAATAATCGACACATCCAAGCTTATAGCACTTGGTATTCTCACAAGGTCAGCCATGTAGGTACTGACCAAACTCAACATTAATCGAGCGAGAACCTATGTTTCAACGTGATATGGCTGTAAGCCTAAAGATGTCTTAAAGTATACTCTACTCAGGAAAGCCAATCGATTTCTACTTCTTTCTCCTATTGTGAACTGTATATGGAAAGTCGTCACCCAGGAGATCTTCCACATCTTTCTGATGAGGTCAGATTATGAAGGTGTCGTCAATATATCTAAGATATATGCTTAGCATTTCTATAGCCATTTCTTCAAGGTATTCCTTTTATATGCTTGCCATTACTAGAGATAATGGTGATCCCATAACTAAGCCTTCCTTCTCTCAGTATAGAGCGGAACTCATTTGGAAGTATGTTGTTTGCAATGTCCATTAAGTTACCTATGGGCGTTCTCCAAGAAACGGGTTTGATTCTAACTTGTTTAGAACCAACGATACTGGCTCGTCGGTAGAAATCTAGATGGCCAGTGCCTGGCAGCTGATATCTCCTCTGACCAAGCTCAGAGCGGTTGTCCTCATCAGGAGGGCTGTCGAACTCGTAGGGATTTGCAAAATGGTCAGTTTTCCAGGAAGTACCTGACTCTTCTTGTCATGCTCCATCTTTACAAGAGTCATATCAGACAAAAACGGCGCATTGCTCCCATATGTCGGCTGAAGCTGCCCAATTCTCACTTTCCAACTTTTACAGATTTCAAAAGTATCTACGCGGCCTTGTGGGTGATAAATTAATTTCTTCTGTACAAGCCCTTTCCATTAGGCGAAACGTCGTAAGTCTTTCGCTATTTTATCACTATAACCATCGCAAATATTCTGACGAGCGACATTCCTTAGTTACGCTAGTTTAGACATTTACAGCTACGAACCCTTATGCCACGTACACAGAGTCGAATCATCCTCATTCCCTTTGTATTCTATTGGTAAGAAGTAATTTCTTTTCGGACAGCTTCGTTCCACTACTTTGTGGAACGGATCTTTGAGAGGATACTTGCCCGATCATTATAATATGAAGATATTTATGTCTCTGTCTCTGGCTAACTGTTATCTATTTTCAACAATCTTTCTCAGTCACCTTATAACTTGAGTTGCTCTTGTGCCTTGTACTGAGTGAACTACGTGTAAAAAAAAAAACAAAAAAAAAACAAAACAAACGAACATTAGTGAATTAGCTCACAATGTCTAAGCACACCATCCAGTTGCTATGAATCGGAACATCTCTGAAGGTCATCACAAAGAGAGTAGAGGGTTTTTTGTTTGTTTGTTTTTTTTACATAAGACGGAGACATGCTTGCTAGTGCGTTGATTACAACTACAAGGAATCCGATACATTTTGTTGTTGTTGTTGTTGATCTTCTTCTCGTTGATTGGCTGATTGACACGAATGAAGTAGGATTGTGTGTGTGTGTGTGTGTGTGTGTGTGTGTGTGTGTGAATAAGAGGAAACAACGATCGTTACTTACCACTTCAAGCCGAGCGCGTCGCAATATTCCTTACCAGAGCGAAACCTTTACTGCGTTTCCTTCCTCTTTTTGAAGGAAAAACCTAGATTACTGGTGAACCGGAAGTTATCCGTGATTGGACTATAAATTGCCAAGAGAAGTCACAGTGTGTGATTTTAAAAATGAGGAAAGTTGTTGTTGACGGATGGCACACAAGTCGATGCCCGATCAGTATCGGCTGAGAGTGGGTACGATGTTAAAAGACTCGAAACTCTTAATGAACCTCGCTTAAGAAAACATCACTAACGATATGTGCCAAAGCATCGAACAGATGTTTTTCACGAAAATTAGATAAAGACATTTGTTCTATTGTTTTTAATTTTGAAACAAGTCCTTAACTTATCCTACATTGTTCGGTCGAACAAATCTCTTTTCTGTATCGTTGATGTTGTTAAAAAATGTCTCGGTTGATCCATTCGTTTGATGACGAATATTTGTTCTACGTTCTTTGTCCTTTCTTTTTTTTTCTTTCTTTCTTTCTTTCTTTCTTTCTTTCTTTCTTATCAGTCCATTTGTTCTTTTCCTTTAGCCTCTGTCCATTCTTTCTTTCTTTCTTTCTTATCAGTCCATTTGTTCTTTTCCTTTAACCTCTGTCCCTTCTTTCTTTCTTTCTTTCTTTCTTTTTTTCTTTCTTTCTTTCTTATCAGCCCATTTGTTCTTTTCTTTATCAGTCCCATTTTTCTTTTCTTTCTTTTCCTTTTTCCTCTGTCCTTCTTTTCCATTTGTTCTTTTTTAGCCTTTCTTTCTTTCTTATCAGTCCATTTGTTCTTTTCCTTTAGCCTGTCCCTTCTTTCTTTCTTTCTTTCTTTCTTTCTTTCTTTCTTTCTTTCTTTCTTTCTTATCAGTCCATTTGTTCTTTTTTAGCTTTTTTCTTTCTTTCTTATCAGTCCATTTGTTCTTTTCCTTTAGCCTGTCCCTTCTTTCTTTCTTTCTTTCTTTCTTTCTTTCTTTCTTTCTTTTCTCTTTCATTCCTTATTCGTTTCTTCAACTCTTTTTTAACTTCTCTATCTTCTTACTCTTTTACTTTTTTCTTTTTACTTCACTTCTTCTGCCACAGTCTTCCCCCTCAGCCCTAAAATATATTTATATGTTTCACATCAACAGCTGCTGCTGCTTCTCTTTTACCGATGCAACGTACTTTGATTCGACATTCTATACTTATCAAACGCTCTTTTTTTTTTCTTTTTTTTTCTTTCCTTTTGCCTTTTGGGCTACAGAGAATTGTTAGCACATTCTTTTAGTGGAATGTTAATAATACATTACCTGGTCTTTTATTTAACCAATTCCGACACGAAAGTAAAATGAGTAACAACCAATAAGAACAGACGTCGAAAAACGGAAGCTGTCTCTCGAGGATCTTTGAATGGATGTTTATGATTCTAATAAAAATTATTCCGAAGAACAGCGCCGAAGAACTGATTCATTATTCATAAAATAGTATAGACAATTCCAACATTATAATACGCCAAAGTATAATTACCAACCTGCAGTTGATAAATGTAGAAAGCTCCCATCTGAAAAATTAACCTGATAAAGTTCTGCCTAGATTCTAAGACAACAAAAGGATCAGATTTCTTTCTAAATTAATCTTCTACTTGTAAAATCCAAAATGTGCATGTAACTAAATGAAGTTTTCGCTTACAGGAAAACGTCGTTACAGACAAAGAAAAGAGTGACGAACTGATGTGTAATATCAATCCTCCTAAATAGGATCGTCCTGGGTAAGACGTTAAACTGTGTCCAGCAGCAAGGCCACTGATCAGGAGGTTTTGAGGAGCGTGGAACCACCTCTTAATTGCTGGTGTTCCCAGGTCCACCCTGACTGGGGGTGGTAGCACCTATTAGGGTCCCGGCTATGGGCAAATAGTTAACTATTACCAGCAATATAGAATTTTGTCAGCATTGAGTAGCCCATTGAGGTTGTTATGCCGTAAAACAAAATAAACCAAGCCAATCTAAACCAAAGAATACATATTCTATTCATACGAATCTATCCTAAAAATGTTGTCGGCATTAAATGACCCATTGAGGTTGATATGACATAAAACAAAATAAACCAAACCAAACCAATCCTGATGACGATGTGACTTCAGGTAAAAGAGATGTAGTTCTACAGGAGGGTGCTGAGAATACTATGTACAGAGCTTGCGAATAAGGAGGGCGAAAATACAAGCAAGAAGACACTGGTAAGTAGAAACAGAAGAAGACAGTTGAAATCTCTGGAGCGCATAATGAGGAAAGTGGGCTTGGAGAATTTAATACTTATAGGGCACACTGAAGAAAAGAAGGGTCGAGGAAAACAGAGTAAATCCTACCTAACGAATGTGTCTAAGTGGTTGGCAGAACAAGGAATGAGAGAGGTAAAAAGGGGGCAAATGTTGCTCAGAGTTACAACGGATGGGAAGTTGTGGAGAGCCATGATCGCCCATGAAGAAGACAGAGGGAACAGAGAGTAATCTACCTAACGTGCTTTATAAATGGATGGCGGAACAGGGAGGAATAGTAAAAATACAAACATTACTATAAGCTATAAAGGACAGGAAATTGTGGAGTAACTTCAATGTCTTGCTTGGAGTGAAATGATTAAAAAAAAAAACTGAATAAATACAGACATTTTACTCCAGCAAGCATATGTTGCCCAACGATACAAAAATTAACCTTGCGATTTAAGTGGAAGTTCCTTGTGATAAATTGGCATCTGAAAATTGTTATATACTTAGTGATGAACATAGTCACCTCGACGTGGTGTAATGGTTAGCGAGTTGTCTCACTAGAATAATTATGACTGAATAGCGAGTTCGATCCTCACTGTGTGCCCCCGTACTAAGCTACACTTAGAAAATAATTTGGGCACCTCGAGGTGGTGTGATGGTTAACAAGCTTGTCTCGCTAGAACTATTACGACTGAGTAGTGAGTTCGATCCTCACTAGGTGCCCCATACATCTGAGCTACACTTGGAAAATTAGTTTTTTTTTACCTTTCATCGACAAAGTTGCGAATGAATCGCTGGATGGGAGAGAGAGATAGAGAGTGAGAAAACTAGAAATATTAACAGAATTGAATAAATAAAGAGAAAGAGAGAGAGAGAGAGACAAGTAGACAGACATACAGTTTATTAATCTGTGACAGGTTCAATGTCGGAAAAGAGACATTCGTTATAGCTCGAACTTAAAATGAAATGCTGTCTTTGAATCACCCCCCACCCCCACTTTTGAACATTTTGTTTGCTGGTGCGAAACTCAGCCTCAAGAATTCGGTACAAATTTGGTGCAAGATCAGTTTGGTTGCATCAACCCGAAACGTAACGAGGAATTGCCATTCCATTAATTGAACAAGTGCCAGAACAATTCCTAGTTGACCAGTTTATATTGATTGGATGAACCCATTGTTTTGGCCATTTTGCTGTATAAGTACTAAAGGAAATTTGGTCATTTCTATAGATTCTGCTATTTCAAAAGTTCTCTCTCTCTCTCTCTCTCTCTCTCTCTCTCTTTCTCTCTCTCTCTCTGCTACGACGATTATTTCGCCTTTTGTATTATATGAGAGAAAACACGTTGTTGGCGGTGAATAAAGCAATAATAAGTTTACTTCTAGAGACAACTGCCCTTGCTGGAAAACATTTCCAGATACTTCGGAATCGTGCAAATAGGGTTTCTTTATTAAATGTTTTTGATCCAATTAAAAGTCATAATCCTTAATTCGCACGACAACCACGAGAAAAAATGGCGATTCTATGAAAGTTTTTCACGTTACATCGAAAGTTTTCCACGTTGCATACTAGCAGTAATCCCTAATTATTATTCACTTGTGTCATAACTTCTCATGTAAAAACATTAATCCTCTCGGAGCTTTGTTCGTTACGACAAAAGTGGTAGTGAATCTGGGATAGGACAGCAAACATCGTTTCTTATTTTGCAGGAATTAGAAAATCCAAATAAGTTTTGAAAAGTTCTCGAAAATACCACAATTCCCCATGTATAATACACCTTCATCTCTAATGTGCACCTCTAAAATTGTGGGAAAATGCTTATACTCACGCATAATATGCAATTATAAATTGTACCTCTCCAATTTCATTATGATCAGTGTTTCCTATTCTTATTAAAAAATGGTTTTAAACATTAGAATAATATTATTCTAATTTAGTTTATGATAATTCTTATTTTATTTTACATTTGTAAGTATATGTGATTGTATTTGACATCCTTTGGGGTCACAATCGCCGAATGTTAGTGTCAAATTGTCGTATGTTTGTGGAGAGTAGACATTTCGCAGCTGAAATCATCCTATGTGTTGTGGTAGGATCCACCTAATTTGCATAGTGGAGTACCGGGAAGACGAGGGGAGGAATCAAGAGATTCAATCCAGAGACTCTGCCCGACTGCGACTAAGTCAACACATTCTCCAGGAACGGTCTTCCCAAGAATATACAAAAGACTATATGTAAATATTTTGTACACTTTCTTGTTTCAATACATTTTGTTCTAAGTACATTTTGTGTTGTATTATTATTCCATGCATTAGTCAAGTTACAACACTATGAAACAATTTTTTACGGATATTTTTGTAGTTTTGCATAATACGCACCCCTAATTTTTGCTTATTATTTTTTAGAAAAAATGCGTATTATACATTGGGAATTACAGTAAATTTCGAACAAAACTCTGACAGAAAATTTTCAAACTTTTATATTTAGGCAGCTATTCTTTTCAACAAACACTTAGTAATATGAGCTTTCCTAATCACACAGCCGATGAACAAATGAAATTACTTTTACGGATAGCACGCAAGGAATTCCAGCTGTCTTTTCCTGATTCTGAGTAGAAGTGTTCTTTCTCTTACCATTTTCTTTAACACTTCCTTGTTGCTTGCTCACTCTGTCTATGGAATGTTCAGTATTCTTCACATTTCTGCTGCCTCTAGGATTCCCCATCCATCCGTGGGGAGATTGTCCAGCATTCACGGTCATATGAGAGGACGGATAACACATTGCAAGCCAACGCTTTTTTCTTTGTTTCTAACGATGTTCTTTTTGTTTTTTGTTTTTTAGTTTATCAGCATCTTGTTTACTTTTTAGACTGCTTCTTTCGCTAGTTCAACTCCTGTTCGGATCTCAGTGTCGTATTTCCTATCCTCTGTCAAAACACTTCACAGATATTTCAACTTTTGCACCTGCTTGATGTTGATATCTCTAATTTATAACTCGAACTTTGGGATTTTATACTCATAAGAAAATACAGCATCTAAAGAACACGAATTTAAATCCGTTAGAGATAGGATAAGGAACTGAAGTTGGTGGATTTTGGCATATATCAACACTATTTGGGATATTTAATATTGAAAACTGATTTTAAACACAGTTCGGATTTATACTTGACTTTATAGATAAACATTGCTTGCGTTTATACTTGAGTAAACATTAATCGTGCTTATACTTGTGTCTATAGTTAAACATTGCTTGTGATTATAAAGGGTGTTTCATTAAGACGGATCATAGTCAGCAGTAAATAAATAAGTATTATTGGTGAAAATTTATTTATTTCTGTATTGGATCATGTTATTTAAGTCATGGCAATTATGTGTGAAATATAATATCGTCCAAATTTCCGCCAAGGCTTCAGCGGCACACCTCCACTCGATGGTCAAAATTTTTGATAACATTTCTGCATAGTTGCTCCTCGATCTCACCAATATGACTTATTATCTCATCCTTCAGCTGTTGTTGTTGGCTTGATAGCATAGACCTTACTTTTGAGATGACCCTAAATAATGAAATCTAAAGGCGTCAAGTCGCACGATCGTGGTGGCCAATTGACTTCGCTATTCCCAGAGATGATGCGACCTTCTCATCCGAATTCTGTTTGAACGTCCATTTTTGTAATAGGCTTCGATAACTTTAACACGTTGTTTGATTGTTAATCTTTCCATGGTTGAAATTGCCAAAGACTTAAGTCGTTAAATCTGAAAGAAAAAGAAAATAAATCATTAGAAAGTTAATCAGTTCAAGTTATTGGAACACCGTTTACTTACATCCACAGATAAACATAGTCTGTACTCATATTTAAGCATATGCTGGTATGTGTTTTTACTTAAATTTATTGCTAAAGTCAGGTCACGATTATACTTGATTTTATATGCAAATATTGGTCATCTTTTTATTTCAGTTGTATTTATTCTTAAGTCTATAAAGTCGATCCTTCAAATCTACAAATCAACCATTTTCCCTTGCATGGAGTATTGCTGCCATATATGGTCTGGTGGCCCTTCTAATTGTCTCAAGATCTTTGATAAAATCCAAAGACGGATATGCAATGTAATTGGCCCTGATCTGGCATCTCGTCTGCAGCCGCTCTCTCACAGACGTGCCGTTGCCTTCCTCTGTCTTTTTTACAAATACTTTCACAGTAACTTCTCCGATGAGCTGCGTTCGCTGATTCCCAGACTTCATGAATTTAAGCGTTCAACTAGGCTGGCATCTCGCTCTCACCCTTTCACTGTCGAAAGTGTTAAATGTAGCCGTCTCTTCTACTCCAAAAGCTTCATGTCTCGCACTTCTCGCCTGTGAAACTCCCTCCTCATTTCTTGTTTTCCGGATAATTATAATCTCCAGCTGTTCAAATGTAACGTCAATCGACGTCTCCAGATGCCCTGATCTATCCCCTAACCGTCTCTTCATCCTTTCCTCTATCACTCCTCTTTGTTCTCGCTCCTACTTTGAAACCCTTTGCGTGCTAATGGCTTTTTACAAACAACGCGTTTCCTCCCCGTCTTCTAAGTAGTCGTTTTTATGGCGGAATGAAAAACAAACTTGTGTTGTAATTCTTTTGGAAAAAGCATTAAACAGCCTTATCATCTGCAACTATCAGAAAGTGTGTGTTTTTTTTTCTGTTTTTTTTTTTTTTCGGATTGAAGCCGTTAACATCCGCTGGTTTTGCAATTAGCCTACACCAAGTAAATTTACTTCCATTTTTCTATATTAGTTCTTAGGTAAACATTGCTTGCGTTTATACTTGAGCAAACATTAATCGTGTTTATACTTGTGTCTATAGGTAAACATTGCCTGTGATTATAAAGGGTGTTTCATTAAGACGGATCACAGACAACAGTAAATAAATAAGTGTTATTGATGAAAATTTATTTATTTCTGTATTGGATCATGTTATTTAAGTCATGGCAATTATGTGTGAAATATAATATCGTCCAAATTTCCGCCAAGGCTTCAGCAACACACCTCCACTTCATGGTCAAAATTTTTGATAACGTTTCTGCATAGTTGCTCCTCGATCTCACAAATATGCCTTATGTAATGTAATGTAACGTCAATCGATGTCTCCATATGACATATTATCTCATCCTTCAGCTGTTGAATTGTTGTTGGCTTGATAGCATAGACCTTACCGCTGATATTATGTATGAACCCGGTCCGACGTTTATCGAATTAAGAAATCAGCGAACTTTCAATATATTTTCTTCTTACTGAATCCGTTTCTCTTCTGATCAGACTAGCATTTTTAGGCTCAAATTGTGGTCAAATGTGTTACGATGAACTACCTGGGTTTTTTTTTTTAAGTATTGTTAAACAGCATACCGCTTTGATGCCCATACGAGGTCTGTCTGAAAAGTAACGGGAGTGATCACGTTCTTCGATGGGAGAGGTATCGTCCACAGTGAGTCCTTGCCACAGAGCCAGACGGCCAGCCAGAAAGTCTGCGGCGTTTGCTTCGCTCACAGCGCGAGGAGAGACGGGAGTTGTGGCAGGACAAATGGTGACACTGCTCTGCACCTGCTCGCAACGCCGACAGTTCCTGCTCGAGGACATCGCCGTACTGGAACATCCTCCTTATTCACCTGATCTTCCTCCATTTGACTTTGTTACCTTTCCCCAATTTCAAGGAGATTATCAAGGGAACACGTTTGGAAAGCGCATAGGTCATCACAAAGTCCGTAACGGCGGAGCTGAGAGGCATCCAAGATGAATCCTTCCAGCAGTTCATAGAAGCGTGACAGAGAAGGATGGAAAAATACATTATACTTGAGAAGGATTACTTTAAATATGTCACCATATCGCTGTTGTTTGGAACTAAAATAAATTGTTTGTGATACCAGTCCCGTTACTTTTCAGACACACTTCGTGCAGTCATATTTTTTTTAGATTTCTCCGATGTATATGATGATTAAATTGAGATATTAAAAAAATATCAATTCATTCCTTAATGCTGTGGACATTACTGAAAATTATGAAATAGTTGCAAAATAATTTTAGGCACCCATTTTATTTTGAACCCCTGTCCGTCCTTTTGACAATTAAGTGTACATAACTTCAAATTAATTATCCTGACTCTCTCACAATGACATCTTGGAAGCAATGTTCTCTTTAATGAAAACAGAGTCTAACACCTCTAACGAACGAATGAAAACCGTTCCCGTTCATCATTGCTACATCAAGATTATTGGTCTTAATTATGACTGTGAATAACGCGAAGACATTGCTTTAAGACATTCCAACAGTCAATTTGACGAACCTCAGTTGTA